TTTTTGTGTATTCTTCCATCTGAGAGCTCCACTATTTATAGCCATAGAGGAAGAGCCAGCCCTTTAATGCCATGAATGGAGAGTGATATAAATGAGGAGTTACAATACTAATGAAAATGAATGAGGAGTTTCAAATGGATGGAGGATGGAGGAGAAACTGATTTTCATTCATTCAATATTTCCAACACGTGCTTTTTCGGTTAGAGTTTTGTCACTCCATTTATTACATTTTCTTTGAAATCTGAAGACAAAAATGATCTATTTTAAAGGTTGGGGACAAAAATGCAAAAATAAACAACGTATTTATACAGTCTTTTAAGTGATTCTTACGCTAACATAATTAAGTAATACTGTGAGACAAGAAAGTAGAAGAATAAAAAGGGGAAAAAGAATGTGGTCAATAATTTGTGATAAATGATAAATTGAGGAATTTGTGATTTGTGACGAGTGATAAATTGCTGTTGAAAATTAGAAATTGGAACTTATGATAGATTGAAGAATAGTGATTTTAGTGCATTTACATATCGACCGGAGAATTTTTAATATTATTTAATTAAATATGAATAAACAATCTCGTTATCGTGGTCGTTGACTGCCTACGGTCAATGATCAACAATCACGATCGCCCCAGCTGAGATTCATTCCTAGATCCGCCACTGGTCGTCAACAAACTCAATAAACACCATTGCTCTTTAAGATCGACTAAATTATTATGTTTATTTAAGTTTGTGTTATGAAAAGAGAGAATAAAAGAAGTCAATAGACTTGTTGTATATTATAATGAGAATCAAAGTCCTATATTTATAGGGAATGAATATGGATACATATGGTAATTATATTTATGGTTATAGGGGTACAATTGTCATTCATATTAAACCATAATTTACTTTCCTTTTACAATAGCTTGATCTTTATTAAAGGGCATGTTTCCTTTGATTTATTATGACATAATAAGTGATAACATAATATTAAGTACAACCAAATCATTTGAAACTATAAGATTTTATACTTTATAAAATTTATTTACCTTAAAAGAGAAGAAAAATCATTATCAAAATATATACCCAAACTGTCAATAATTGTACTAACCTCCCTACTCGCTATCCAAAGTCACAGGAAGCTTCGAGGTCTTGGGTCTATTTTCAACTTTGTATCTAGACATAAATAGGCCAAATACGACATATTATAATTAATAATAAAAATGACAAATGATGTGCTCTTTCTAAAAACGCGTCATAATGGTAAAATTAATAAGTATTTTTAATACTGTCCAGTACTGTATTTTAATACATTGAATCTCATGTATCGTAGTGTGATGCCTATTTTCATTGTTTTCGTAGTCTCGTCAAGTTTTGTTTTCTTCATTGCACAATAATTCTAATACGAGATGCGCTAATGAAAATTTCTAGACCGTATCACCACATCGAATTTCATATTTGAGTGTCGTTAATATTACCTTCATTGCAGACCAACAACAATCAACTTGAAAATGGTAACTTAACTCGATTTTAGTTATAGCGCATTTTTTCGTATAGATACATTTTCACAAATAACTTACCCACCCCTGATTATTGTAGATATTTTTGAACAGTTTCAAACAATATTTAAAACGTGACAATGACAACCTATCTAGTCACTTGATTCCATTATTTGGGTCGACTTCAAATGAACGTACAATTCAAACAAGTAGACGCGAGTAACAGTGTAACATAGGGTCAGGCCAAATTTCGATTTGATTCGATTATTTTAAGGTTTAAATTTAAAAAAATTGAGTCTTATTTGTTGTACAGTGGTCTATTATAATTATATATCCATCGATATGAATGAATTTATTTAAAAAGATATTTAACTAATTGTTAACATTGAAGTCAAATATTTCAACCTCTCTTAATTTGGATCGTGTCAATTTCAAGTTTAGTTTTTCGGTTTATTGTTGCATGGCTATGTGAATATTATTCGTTACAATAATATTTGTAGCATGTCTCCAAATTCAGTAAATAAGTCGTCACAAAGCGCCAAAGAAGTTCGTAGAGAATCTTTACATCAATCTAGAAGTTTAAACAAAAATATTGACAATGAGTTCACAACGTCGAACTTACTTGAATGAGACGTCAAGCCAAAAGGTCCCACTCGTGCCATGACTAGCACTTGTACAGTTACAGGGACGGAGCGAAGGAGGACAACATATATATATATATATATACTTTGAAAAAAATAAATTATTAGAAATGAAATAATTTTCATCAAAAAAAAAAAATCATTTTAAAAATTAAATGGGCTTGGTGCAGGTTTGAGCTCCTCCCCTTGATAATTACATGGACATTGACAATGAGCTTGTAGTACCAAACTCACTTACGCATCATGCCAAGCCGAAATATCTTATTCATGTCATAAATGCCCCACGTAGCGCTTATATATGATTACAACTCAGTAAAACCTAACACGGTATTAAGCTTCTATTTGACGATCATTATATTTCTACATACTCATTTTCAATCACACGTTCACACGATAAAATATTCTGCACGTAAAACTCAAAACGTTCCTTACTTTTTAATCACACGTTCTCAAAAAAAAAAATACTATTCAAAACTTTGTTTTCCATAATTGATGGTTGTCAAACATGGGATATGAAGTTGCAAGCTCAGCTAAAATCGAGTAAATAAATTCAATATTCGAACTATTTTGTTCTGTAAGTCCTAGAATATTTGATTTGAATACATAAGTTTAAGAATTTTTAATCTAATGTTGCCCTTGCTCTCGGGATTCAACTTCAAGTTTTGTCCCTCTCGCAAATTTAAGTAATTTCATGCTGGCCATGATTCATGTCATTGGACTATTGATTTCACTCTTTTCTTTTCAATTATACATTTTTCAATAAAATAATATTAAAAACAAACCCAATTTTTATTTATTATTTTTTTTAATCACATAATTTTCGTCAATATATTATTCTTAAATACATTTTACACCAAAAATTGGATCAAACATACTCTTAGGCCTTATTTATTTCTGATTTAAATCAGATTTTAATTTAAGAGCCTGTTTGGGAGAGATTTTTGAGTGAAGAATTGATTTTTGAATAGTGATATGATGGGAAATGTGTGGTTGAAAAAAAAGAAAAAATTATTGATGTGATGGAAAATATTATTTTATTGAAGAATGTGTGGTTGAAAATGAAAATTGATTTACTGTAGAAAATCAAAATTCATACCAAACAGGCTCTAAGTAAAAGTCAAACAATCAATATTAACCACATCTTTTATGGGTCCCACAACTTTTCAACCACACATTTCAAAAATTTGTATCATAATCTACTAAAAATCTAATTTTAATCTCCACCAAACACCATCTTAATATTTTTATATGATATAGATTATAATAATATTTATTATTCTAACGTGACGACATTAGTCTTTTCATGTTATGTATACTAAAATAAACAATTGAAGGTCAGTTTTCGGACGTCGTGGACGGGGCCATAAACGGACGATGCAACCAAGGGGATCCAGTGTCGGCACCAGAATATTCCTTTGAGTGGACCAACAAAAAAATTAGTTCTTCTGACTTGTGATTAAATAAAATTATCTTCCAATTGGCTCAAAATTAATAAATTTTCAAAATCAATTTGCAATATTTAAAATATGGGTTGAATTGGTCTGCAATAATAATTGTATAATTCATGTAAATTTCCAACAAATTGATTGGATGTGAATAGGATATGTATAGACTTATATGGACAGTTCGACAAATACTCTAATTTTAGCAGTCAGTGTATATATATAAAAAAGAAAATAAATCATAAATAATTATTCAATAGGATGTAGCACAAGCTTTAGTGAAATTGATTGCAAAAGAGGGAAAAATTGCCACTTTAAAATTATTTTATGGGAATATTCGTTTGATATCCAAAAACTGCTCAATAAGATAACAATTAACTATTCTCCGTTCTCTTAATTGAAAATTCGGCTCAATCTTTTACTCCCTCTCTACATATAGACTTATTTAATTTTTTATTTTCATTTTTATTACCGTAATTAGACAACAAATTGTAACGCATGTTACAAATATTTATAATAAAGACAATAATTAGTTAACAATTAGAGATACGATTGAATGTGTAAAGTAAAGTGAAAGTCAGTAAAGAAGAATAAATCAATTATTCTACTTGTACAGATAGATTGACAGATGCATACGTGGTATGTATCTGTCCTTTGATTTGAATGCATCGTCAACTTATCTGTAAGAAAATTCGTAGCCGAATTAAAAATAAATTATCATTGAATGTATAGAGGAAGAGCGTGTTTCACGTTTGAGTCACGAATTCCAATTCACTTTTTGAATGCTGAACTCTACGGATTTTTTAAAAAGTTCTATGCAGTGAAAACGTAAATCCCGTTTCTCCGTTACTTTTCTTCACTTCTATGCCCACTCTCATTGCATGGCAACTTTACCCACCAAAGGCCAAACTTTCACAAAAATAGATATTGATATTTTTCTTAAACAAGTATTGGCTTCAATTTTACGTTTAAAAACGCCGTTAAATTTACTACCCATTGAGATATGATTTTTTTTTTCTTTATTTTTAAAAATACTCCAACATACTCTTTATTTTTAACAATTAATTTTTACTACTCCCAATTTTTTTTTTTTTCTATCTTTTATTTTTATTAATTTCCCTCCAAATTATTATATTATTTTCCTACATTAAAAATTGAAATATTTTGAAGTCTTTTAATTATAGAGAGTAAGTTTAACTCTCCAAAATTAAAAATCACTCACTATTTTAAAATTTTTATTTGAAGGGTATCTTATAATGTCAAATGTTGAATAGAGAAAATTGTACGTTTAAACAACCTTTTGAAAATGATTTTGATAAGATTGATTTTTTAAGATGAAATCTCAATTCTTAATATAGAATTCGAATTCATTAAATCCAAATGAGCGATTCGACCGTACTAAGATTCAAATGATCACGCGTATTCCAATTTTGGAAATCAAGTGAGCCACCATCTTTCATGGACGTATTAAAGATAATTTCACATTGATTAAATATCGAAATATATATTAAAATATAAGGACTTGAACTATTTCCAAAAATTAACGATTTTAGAGTATGAACGAAAAAATGCGAGATAAAATAATATTTGAATTTTATTTTTTACCTGACTATATGATACTCGTTGATGACAAACCTGGATTAGCTTTGCACCAGCTTCTATTAATGAGTGCTTCAAAGGAATTTTAAAGATGAAATATGTGTGAATTTTGGTGTCTGATTGTGTTGATTCAAAAAAAAAAAATATTTCCTCAAGCGAATAATATCTTTCTTTTTTATAGTGTGGGTTAGCATAAAGATATATTTCAAGTTTTTAAGTTACATATTGAGCTCAACGATAATTTATTTAGCACTCTAGAATTGTATTTTGCATGTTGCATGGATTGTATGCACGATTTTTATTAGCAATGCCTTTATCACCTCGAGCTTATAGTTTTGGCTCGAATTGGTGTTGGTGTTGCTGTTAGTGTTGAGCTTGAAACATATCAGTTTATGGGCTAAGTTGTTCGACCATCTTTGTATATAGTCTTCATAACTTTGCATAATGTAAGCTTTAAAATAAATATTCTCTACGTAAATTAAGTGAATTACTTAATTTCGAAGTAATTACTACTTCACTTCTAGTTACTTTTATTTATAAGTACTTAAAAGTAGGTTGATTACCAACCTATGACTTTCATAGCATGTTAGTTTCTAACTTTTAAAATGTAACATTTTGCTCCTCAATCTTTCAGTATTATTGTACAAGTAGTTCAAGTAAATTAAAATGATTTAAATTTCTGTGAAAAAGTACTTTTGAGTATTTTTCGCGGCCATCCCGACCAATTTTCAGCTACCGAAAATGGTGGTGCATCAATAATGGAAGGACAAGAATCAAAATAGTTTTCTTTTAAAGATTACGATCCAACTTGCTACATAACCTATAATTTGGGATCAATTTACTACATATACGATATATTGAGGACACAAATGCTACAAAGGCTTAAAACAAACAAAAATATGGTTCTTCTCTTTTCTTTTCACTCCAAAGAACAAATATTTATTAAAATATAGCAACCAATTTCTTGTTCGTTAAGGGTTCTACCGTTGGCAAGAAAGTAGCAATTAATGTAAGGAATTGGTTGACCTGTAGTTGTTCCATCCAAATTCCCCCTTTGAATTTCTGTACAAATTTGTCCCCTATGACAGCATTTTATTTGTATGTATATGTATTATAATTCTATATACATTCAGACAATTAACTCCTTTCCACAATCACCTTAGCTACAAATTCCTACCAAATTTTAATCTGTAGAACCTCTCTTTTTCTTGTCATCAATTTCAGCTCTACATGGAAATACATAGTTGAAAGGTTGAAGAATTTGATGTTTCTCGAGGGCTTTAGCTAATTCCTAAAACCCCCCTTTTTTCTCATCAATTTCATCTTTGCATAGAAAGAAATAGCTTAGAAAGGTGAAGAATTTGAAGTTCTCGATAGCTTTGGCAAATTCCTAAAAACCCTTTTCTCCTTCTATCAGCTTAATTTCGTTAGGGGAACCTTCTATCAGTGTGAAGAATTTGAAGTTTCTTGATGGCTTTGGTGGAAATTCCACAGCCCTAACAGGTTTAAGTTTGAGACATAATACTATGGGGAGTGAAATTGTGGTGGAGACTCGAACTCCATCTCCGGAATTGAGAGAGGAAACACTATTTGTGGCTTTAGGAAAAGATGTGAAGGAGAGTGGAACTGTTCTCATGTGGGCTCTGCATAACTCCAGAGGAAAGAAAATTTGCATCCTTCATATTCATCAACCTGCTCAGAAGATATCCATGAGTCTGTACTCTTTTCTGAATTCTTTTTGTATTTCATTTTTGTTGTAATACAAGGGTTTTTTAATTCATATTTTTTTTAATTTTGTGTTTGTGTGTGTTTAGATAGTTGGGTTGGTTTAGGGCATTGAACTGTTTGTTCCAAACTTGCTATATTATCGGTTTGTGCGGATTTTTCCTAGGATTGATCCTCAAAATTAAGAATTATATGAAGAGAGACTGTATCTTTCTGTAAGTCGTATATGTTGAAGGTTTTTTTTTTTTTTTTTAGAACTGGGATTGATATGTTAATTATTTGGTTTTTCCAAAAAATAAAAAATTATTGGCCTCTTTGACGTGTTTGTCTACTTTTGGATTATATTTCATCTGTCTACGCATGTTGTAATCAAGAGTAACAGATTCTGATTGTAGTCCGATGGAACTGGCTGTTCTCATATCTTTTTATTTATGATGGTGTTCATCAATTTTTTCACCTTTGTAATTCTTGCTCACTTTTAATTTAGGATAAACAACCTTTTGATTACGAACCAGTAAGGGTGAATCTTTTTGATTCTTTTTCCATTCATACAAGGATTTTTGTCTCGGAGAGACAATATAACAAAGGGGAAGCTCGCTTTCTGTGTCAATCTCGATTAAGCATCATATGTCAATATGGAGAGAGTTTCAGTTTTCAACACAACACAACACAACACCTCAACTCCCCACCCCTGACCAAAAAGAAAAAAAAGGGATAAAAGATAAAGCACACTGAAAAAGAAAGAAGTCTTTAAGCATTTTACTTGTGTGGTATTTATGTTTCTTGTTTGGGTATGTTCTCTGAAATTAGAAGATGGTGTCTTTCTATCATTGCAGACATTTTCAAATATTTTATTTACACGTGTTTTGGTTCTTGGTTTTCAGTGGGTCCAAAAGTTTCTATTACCCTGCTGGACGAACATATAGTTAGGGATCATCATGAAAAAGAGAGGCAAGAGATGCAAAAGCTTCTGGACAAGTATGTTTGGACTTGTGCTCGGGCCGGGGTATCTTCTTCTCTCTGTTTTCGAAACATAATCTTAGACTTGATTTAAGCCTGGTGACCTTCATTTGCTATCTTCTCTATACCCATTTTTGTCCTCTTTGTGGATAATCATTTGACTATAGTCATCTATTTTCATTCAAAACTTAATGCATCTAACGGATGGAAACTAAGTGTGTTGATTATTTTTCCCATTTGAAGTTTTCTTTTGGAATAATGATGAAATAATGTGCTAAAGCTTATTTTGTTTTGCTTAGGTGCGGGCAGAGAAACTACCCAAAGAGATGGACTTTATTGAGAAGGGCATTGTGCAACTCGTAACTGAGCATCGTATCAAGTGGCTTGTCATGGGAGCGGCAGCTAATAAATATTATTCAAGGTATAATGCTATTAAAACTTTTTCTTTACAAAGAACATCGTCATCTTGAATAACACTAGCTTTAGCCTTCAAGAACATGTAATTTGAATTAATCCAACTGTAATAAAAATTACTATTAGTCATTTTTCATGGCTATAATTCATTTAATCAAGGCAATCGTTCCTTGGTTATAGCAAAGCCAATGGCATAACCAAATAATTGTTTAGCCAATTAAAGGATTTAAAACAAACTGAAATAGGCAGGCTGGAACTAGTCTAGATAATACAGGCTTGGTTTATTTCACACTTTCTTTATCGCAAGAAAAATCCTCAATTCATGTTATTACATAATGTTTGTGCTATAATGCTGCAAACAAGACTATAAAGGGGTCCGGAACTGTCAACCCACACGGATCTACCTGCAAGAGAGTGGACTGGATGAACGAAAATAGGGTACAAATGGGTTGGATCCTACCCATTCTCAGATGTTAACCCCGGTGCATAGATAGTGCTCAGAACAGAAACAAGGACAAAAGATTATAAGAATGACCAACAAGGAGAAGTTTTTAACTCTGTTTCTCGTATGTATGAATTGGATCCTACCTATCTTTAACTCATATCATAATCAGTCAGTTGGCTCAAAACTAATAATCAAGAAATTTGTTTTCGGCCAGTTTGGATCCGATCCAACCTGCACATCTGCCACCTTCTAATGTAAACATTTATGACTGGAATGGATGTAAAAATATTGAAGACAGTTTTTATAAAAATTACACTGGAGAAATTTTAAAGTGCGAGAGCATATAAAAGGGGCTAAAAGATCTCGTGCCCAAGATTTCTAATCAATTTTATATGCCCGTCCCTTGTCCTTGGACATGCTTCATGAAAAGGATTGCAGTTGAGTAATGGCACCCAGAAAGTTCTTCACGCTGCAAGCGAGGAGACTAATCTTAAGCGGTTTTTCTTCTTCAGAAACTGTATAAGAGTGTTGTTTTTCTGCCAACTACTTTTCCTGTTACAGTTTATCAGCTTTTTTAATAGTTGATGCAGTATCCTTTGGTAGTTCTATGCCATTATGGGAAAGACAATGTCATATATTCTACCCTTCGATCACCTTTTATTTCCTCAACTTTCTGACCTAGTTTGTTCCTTCTATATTTACTTTATCTCATTTCCACCACTTGTTTATTGCATTGCAGAAGAATGGTGGATCCCAGGTCCAAGAAAGCAATCTATGTGCGTGATGAAGCACCAGACTTCTGTCACATTTGGTTTATCTGTAAAGGGCACCTTGTACATACGAGGTAGATTTGCTGTTGTGTTCATTCAGATGATTTTTGAGATTCATGTTTCAAAGTAACTAATCTGTCCCTGGAATTTCTAATGTGGTGAGAAATGCAACTCAAACTAAGGAAATATCTCAAGACAACTTGACAAGAGAGTATGGACCAAGCCGCTTGTTTATGTATCTATAATATTTATAGCAAATTGGTTCTATACCTGGATATCTAACAACTATTATAGTGATCAGTAATATTATCAGCTAAATTAATGTAGGGCATGTAAAGTGGACGAAGTTAACATGGCGGCAGAATCTGCATCACTTCAAGCAAGTCCAGCTGTTGAAACTACACAGTCTTCCTGGAGATCACACTCAGTTATCGAAGGGCAAAATGGATGTTCAAACTTACAGATTTCAGCTCCAAACTATTGTAGAGCCCAGTCCGACAGTCATGGTATGAAACTTCAAGCACCATCTAATGGCTCTGGCATGGCAACTCCACTGAGCGAATTGAATCGAGAAGGGAGTGGTGATTGGGATAGTCTATCAAGGAGAAGTCCTTCGGCAGGTTCATATTTTTCAACGTGTTCTAGTGATATAAATGAGGGAATAGCAATCTCCATTGCAAGGACTGAGGAGAGTGAAACTGGGTTGGATTTTTCTATGATTGAGAATAAAGAGTTGGGGCATCATCATCGTTCCTCTGTTGCTTCCAATGCTTTTGTAAGTACATCATCATGTTGAAGAGAAGTATATTGTGTATGGGCATCATTGGCAACTAACCATATCAGAACTTAAGTGCATATGCTGAAATTCTGTTTCTTCCTTGAGATGCATAATTATGCTCTATACATTTTGTTAGTGTTGAATAACTAAGTTGGCTGTGCTTATTATGAAAAAAAATGTAATTTGATTATTTTATCCAATAAATTAGTACCATCACTATGTAGTGTGAGAACCGGACCAAAAAGATAAAGGGGAAAATCATTGTGGAACTCTTTCTGACTAATTGTAGAATTTCAGCAGGAAGGATTTGTAGATGATGAACTTTATCACAGGCTTCAGCAATATGTGGTGGAAGCAGAAACTTTTCAGCGGGAAGCATATGAGGAATCCGTCAGGCGTAAGAAAGCTGAAAAAGAAGTCATCGATGCTATTCGCAGAGTAAAGATTCTTAAATACATGCTTTATTTTTTATTTTTTGGCTGTAGATGATTAAAGTCTTGAATTCATCGAACTGAATCTATCAAACTATAATTTGGGTCTTACAATAAAATCAAATTTAGTGCAAAGGGCATTTTCCCATTTATGGAGCAGCTTGATCCTGTTATGGGGAATTTATTTGACTATCTGATATGATAAATTTACTGCTCTTTGTTTCTTCTTTATCCTTGCAATGTAACAGATAGCTGATGTTTATGATAATCATATTTTTAGGCTAAAGCATCTGAAACCATGTATGCCGATGAGTTAAGACAAAGGAAAGAAATGGAAGAAACATTAGCAAGAGGCAAGGAAGAAGTTGAGAAGATGAAATGCCGTCTAAATGAAATCATGAATGAGCTCCGAATGGCCCAGAAACAGAAATCAGATATTGAGCATCAAATTGCAAATTCTGATAAAATAGTAGAGGATTTGGAGCAGAAAATGTTTTCTGCCGTTGAACTGTTGCAAAAATACAAGAAGGAAAGAGATGAGTTGCAGGTTGAGCGTGATAATGCTCTCAGGGTAGCTGAGGAGCTGAGAAGAAAGCAAGCTGAGGAGGCAACAAGTCCATGTGTTCCTCAGTTCTTTTCTGAATTCTCTTTCTCTGAAATTGAAGAGGCAACAAATAATTTTGACCAAGCATTAAAGATTGGTGAAGGGGGTTATGGAAGTATATATAGAGGGGTTCTTCGGCATACGCAAGTGGCTATAAAAATGCTACACCCAAATAGCTCGCAAGGCCCTTTGGAATTTCAACAGGAGGTATGGTGTGAGCATAATTTTCACTTGATTCTTGCTGAGTCATAATATTACCTATGCATCTGCGGAGCTTAAATATTTTGTTCCCACGCAATTAAAAGTAAGGGAAAATCTGAATACAGGTCGTATTTAGCTTTTGTGCTTCTTTTGCCACTCAATGTTTGCTCCATCCTCATCTCTATAGTTTGTTTTGCACTCTTGTAGTGTCTCAAAGATATAGACAAAAACAACAGGCTGAAGTCTTATCCCCAATAAATTTTGGGTCGACCACATAGAACGTTATTTTCCTACTCCGTTTATCCAAGTTTATATAATATTATATAAGCAAAAAATTATCCCTTATTCTCAACAATCAAATCGTCCTTCTTTTACTTCCTCCTCAATTGCAGCCACCTCCACATTTTAGCATACATTCTCATGTCTTATTTTATCCATTCTGTTATGGCCTATCTTATATTCTCATTGCGTTTACATTCATCTTGTAGATATATATGTCAATTAACAGCCTAATCTTCATTACCATAAAGCACAACTCGTCTTATATTAATTCTGTATATATAGTACTTCTCCATTTCATCATATCCGCTTTAATATTATGCTTTACAACTTTAACCCTTTGTTCATTCTTAATATTTGGACCTATATACCAAAAACAGTCACTCCTAGGTACAACACGATCCTCTATTGAAACTCCAATCCTATATACTCTGGTTTTAATTCTTAATTGTACTAACCTAAAACTTCTGGATATACAGCTGTTGATTTCTTCTATGATGCATGTGATAAAAGAAAGTAATTTTTTTTTTTGGAATTTCCAGGTAAATGTTTTGAGTAAGTTGAGGCACCCAAACCTTGTAACTCTGATAGGAGCCTGCCCAGAAGCTTGGGCTCTTGTCTATGAGTATCTTCCAAATGGAAGCCTTGAAGATCGACTCAACTGCAAAAACAATACATCTCCACTATCATGGCAAACTCGAATACGAATTGCGGCTGAACTATGTTCCGTACTCATATGCTTGCATTCTTGTCGCCCTCAAGGCATCGTGCACGGTGATCTAAAACCCGCTAACATCCTGCTTGACTCAGACCTCGTGAGCAAGCTTAGTGATTTTGGAATATGTCGATTGCTCTCTGAAGATGAAAATTCATGCAGTGATACGACGCTACGTTGCATAACTCAGCCGAAAGGTACTTTAATATACATGGATCCTGAGTTCCTTTTGACTGGAGAACTTACTTCGAAGTCGGATGTGTATTCCTTTGGAATTATATTGTTGAGGTTATTAACGGGAAGGCCTGCATTGGGGATTACAAAGGAAGTCCAATATGCCTTGGATAAAGGAAATTTGAAAAATCTGTTGGATGCAACAGCTGGGGATTGGCCGTTTGTGCAAGCAAAACAGTTGGCTCACCTAGCAATGAGATGCTGTGAGGCAGACCGCGGACGACGGCCTGATCTTGCCTCAGAAATCTGGAGGGTTCTTGAGCCCATGAGACTTTCGTGTGGAGCCTCATCTTTCCGGTTGCGTTCCGAAGAGCATTGCCAGATTCCAACCTATTTTGTCTGTCCAATCTTTCAGGTTGGTCATATGCTCATCTTGCTTTCTACAAATCTTTATTGTGATTACCATCATAAATGGTATGCATGGAAGTGTCACTACTAATTCTCCAGTATTCAATACCCCTACCCGCCCTTCTCTCCTCCTTCCCTAGATCTTTGTGGCCAGTTGCATACTGGATTCAACAGTGCTGGACAGAATTAACGCAGTGAAAGAAGTTAAAATATATTTGTGCACTGGTGTTCAGTACGTAGTATCAAGCATGCACTTCTGCAGAACTTTCAATGGCTTCCCTGTTTGTATGTCCCATATTTGTACAACTTTAACATGCACTATCTTGTAGGAAATTATGCAAGATCCTGTTGTTGCTGCTGATGGGTTTACCTACGAGGAAGAAGCCCTCAAAGGGTGGCTCGAGAGTGGGCACGACACTTCTCCTATGACCAACCTAAAGCTTACACACTGCAATCTTGTGCCCAACCGTGCTCTCCGCTCAGCAATCCAAGAGTGGCTGCAACAGCCTTGAAACACTGTCCAGCTTCTTCAAGTTGTCTATAGGTTCTATTCAACCTTCTATTTTTGTTATATTCTTGTATATATCACATTAGGTACACATATATCTACGCATGCGCGTTTACTTATTTTGCAAATATTTACACTCCATAGGTTATAGCTCGTAGTTTCAAACTTGAGACTCCTTCATTTTTCTCACGGCGCTTGATTTGTGGAGGTTACTGTGTGGAACATGGATTTCAGTGGCTGAATTTCTTGGTCATTTGGCGAAACCAATAATTTAAAGAGATTGTGTACTTGTTGCTTTTATGTTCCTATGATTACTATACATTAGAAAGGTTAATGTTATTTAAAACACTATACACATTACTTAGGCCTTTCTAAAGTAAATTAAAAAGATTATTTTGTACTATTCACATAGATTGTGATAGAACATAGTTTTAAAACTAGCTTGGCTATTGGCGAGTTAAGATATCAAATTATTGGTTCAACTGACGTGATTTAAATAGAAATAAAATTTTTTTTTTAAATAAAATGATCATGCATTAAAATAATTAATTTTCAAATTAAAGAATGACATAATTCTCAAGTTTATAATGCACAAGTCATCTAAGAGAATATGACCCCCCAAAAATTAAACATTTGAATCATTATTATTGTAACCACGTGATATAATTTAGTGAGCTGCGTCAAATCTTTCTATGGATTGCTTCTTTCACCTCTTTCGCCGTGAATGTTCCTATTTAGTCTCAGAGAGGTTTGACCCTATTTGTTTGCTTTATCGTCAGCATAATTTTGTAAATTTCCTACAATATTTGCATCACTCTTTTTTTTTAGCATTATAATTTTTCTCCCCTAACTAGAGTTCTACTTTTATGCTGTTTGATTGACAATTTTTTCTACGAAAAATATTTTCCTACTTTTGGTCACGTGACCATATTTTCCTTGAAAACGAGGAAAATATTTTTTTTAGGGAGATGCGATTTTTATTTTTCATGTAATTCGCTCTTTCTCTCATGTATCATATCTCTCATCTACACACCAATAAAAAATGAACAAGTATAATATTTTTTAAATTAAAAACTAAATCAATCAAACACATTTAATTAATAATTTCCATACAAATAATTTCTAGGCAATTGAATTGCCTAAAATTTATTTTATTTTCATGTAAATTACATGCTTGTAATCAAACGCACCTTATGATCCTTTTATGACGTGCTCGGCTTGGTTATGGGTCGCCAGTTAAAAAAAAACCGTTCAATTTAAGATGAATTAGGTGGTCATCAAATACGGTTGACAGGCCTATTATAGCTCCAATTTTTCATTCGAACTAACCGTTTTAAAAAACACTTTTTACACTGGATAAAAACTTCCCCCTTACTTTTCAGCCAAACTTGTTGACATGGACCGGAAAGGAAAGGAAGAAAAACTAAGGGCTTGTTCTCTTTACCGTTTTCCAGCCGTTTTATGTTTTCGATTTTCAAAAATAGTGAAAACAAGCTCTTTCTTATTTTTGAAAACGCGTTTTTGAAAACAGGTTAAAAATTTACAAAGAAAACTAAAAACGATAAATTTGTCGTTTTAAATGTTTTCAGTTATAATCAAACCAAAATTTTCAAAACTCGTTTTGAGTGTTTTCAATCACCGTCAACCACCAGAGCACCACCGCGACCCACCAGCACCACCGCCTGAAAACCACCGTCGTTGCCGCTGCCACAACTACAACCATAGCAAGCAACACCACTACATCCACCACCAGCAAAAACAAATTGGAAGCCACTTTCCGGCCACCTAGACCGTCGAATTTCACTATCACCAACCTCGTCTCACTCCCCTCTATCACCTCCAATCATTTATCATCCACGAAACAACAAGAATCAGCAGAAATTGGTGAGACGATAGTCGTGATCCGAGTTTTGCAAATCCCGACACCGTCTGGCCGTCCCATGATCACGGACCACATGGGTTAGTCTCCTCTTCACCAAGTGCATCTTGCCCAACCATGCATCAAGGCCAATTTTACCAGCGGCGAATGAGATGAAAGTGGTGGCGGTGGGTTTCGTTGAAAGAGAAAGAGACGAGAGAAAGAAGGTTCCAAATTTTTTTTTATTTTTGAAAACAATTTTCAAAATCCCAAAAAGAACACATTTTCAACAATCTCAAAATAAACACTCAAAACACAAAACCCGAAATGAATTCAAAACACAAAAGTGAAACACAAATAGAACAGTCCCTAACATTTGAGAAGAATTTTTAGAATTCTGAGTAACACCATTATATTAGTCCTATTTATAAGTAAAAAATCTAAAAAAAAAAATTGTCAAATAACCGAATGAAAAATTTTTTTACTTACAATTCAAGACTAATAATGATGATAACAAATAAAATCTGTACAGTACACAACATATGTCATACATACTTGTATGTTCGGTTCCCTGTATAGAATTGGATAATGAACAAATTTTATCATGTTCGATCCAACGCACCAAGATCCAGTGAAGGATAAAATTACTGCATTTGATAATTATAGCATAAAAGGATAATAAAAGAAAAGAATGGCAAATTTAAACCAAATTTCATTCAAAGAAAATTGAAATTCTTGCAATACCACAATCTGTTGCTTCAACATGTCTACACAACAATATGAACTCTGATCCCAACTGGGACTAAAGATAATTTTACAGGAAAAAAAATAATACATAAACATTCTATGGTTACATCTGAGAGCCTTCCACAATTTGAAGTCACTTGGCCCGGGATTTATTCGGATTCCCATCACCTGCCCCCGCACCAAAAAGGAGAAAAATGTGTTCGACAAAATTGGCTCGTGTTGAAATACTTCTTTTCTTTATTTTGTTCACTGAAGATACATGAGATCAACCTCTTAACATCAAAACTGAGTCTCTCGGAACAAGGTCAAAATCGTTGTTACACTTGAATGTAAATCCACCAATGTATGTTACCAACTCTTCTCGATGCTGGATCCAATTATCCACCCAGAACGCACTTTTGTTTGGATCTCTGTATCTAAAAGTAGGGCATGAAGTGACCAAAAATGTCCCGGCCAGCGTCCACTTTGAAGTTGACATGGATTCGGGATTATTTCTGGAGCTGGTCTCCTATTAATGAGGACAAAATATTAAGAATGAAAATTTTCAATGATTAATCCCACAAATCAGAAGATGAGGATTCTCCTTGTAGTAGCGTGAGAATATCAAGTATCTAACAAGCAAGAGTTTGGATTAATTGACAAAACCATCAATTTTATTACTTATTCAACTATATATAGTATGACATTCTTCATAATTTTTATATTTCAACTCCAATGGACAGATCTAGGAACGTAACACCAAAAAAAAAAAATTCAGATACAACAACAAACTAAGCTTATTTTCAAAGAATTTGGGGTTGACTATATAAATCCTTCTCTTCCGTTTGGTTCATTGCTAGATAAAGAGTAAAATAAAGAAAAAAACATGAGACAAATACACACACCTCTAAATCTCCTCGAGGTACCATTTTCATTCCTACTCAACGGTAATTGATTTTTGTCACTACCCACAGAGAGAATTTCTTGCAGTCTTTCGGGCCAATCTGAGTTCAATCTTCTAGCAAAGTCTGCAACTTCCCTGATCAATAAGATAAGTTACTATCTGTCACATAAAAGACTACAAGATATTGAACAAGAAAGGCAAAGATATTAATTTTAAACTCCACCGACTATTTCTTTGGTGTTCTCTGACTTATCTTTTCCTGGTGTCCAGAAAGAATACAGGGAGGGGAATTTAACCAGTTAACTTCCATGGCGTCACTAACCACATGATGTAATGCATAAGTCAGAACAAGAGTGCAAGGATCCTTTTATGTACCCACAACCATCAAAAGTAGTACAACTGAATGATGAGAACATTGTAAAATTCCTTCTAACTCAAAATTATATAGAACAAAAATCAGATGGAAACCACAAGCACAAAAGCTTTTTATATATCCCTCAGGCAATAGGCATATATGTAAGGAGAGAAGTGGCTGAAAAAGTGACCAAGCCACATGTGACCAATCTACGTACTTAAACAAGGGTTAAAGGAAGCAATACAAGGCAAATATACACCTTGGCAAGGATAGAACAATTTGGAGTTCAATTAATGATATATAAAATAGAGCTAAACAAATATTGCATATAGGTAAATATTGATCTGAAGTGAACACTAGATCTTATTTCCCTTTGATAAACGAAAAGGCGTTCTTAAAGCTTGCATATCAGTTCCCGGTATCACTCTCAATTCACGTAGTATATCAAAAAGTAACATCCAGAAACTCCAGAAACCTCCGTCAATGATATGCTAGAGAAACCCTATCCCACAGCGAGAGCAGAGGTAGATGTTGATCCTTGAAAGTTCTGGATCCTCTCTACATATAATGCGTTTAAGCCAAAAATGAAAAATGCACATCTCTACAAACTCTTTCCATTCTAACATCTATGAAACTCCAAAAACTTCATTAGAAGCATTTGATCTGACTTTCACAAAACCAACTCAACTTTAACAAAATTACAGAAAGTTTAAAGTAAAACTAGCTAGATTTTCCTCATTCTCCTCCACCTAGAATTTATTCTAAATCCTAGGAGAGGACCAAACTGAACACATATGAGCCAGTAACAAACCAGAATTTGTTTCAAATCAAAACAAAAAAGCAACTTATTGTAAGAACTTAAATTAAAAGGGTACTTTTAACACAAGCAACTGAATAACCATATAAGCTAACATGATCAACAATAATAAACCATTAACTATATCTGGCGATGCCAGCAGAATTCCTAATAATAAACCATTAACAAAATTACTTGTGCTCTGATTCTTAATGACTCCAACACCTGCACATTGTAATAACTGAACAGGGCTCACCTATCAATTTCTTCTTTCAATGCAGGGTCAATGTCATCATCTAAATCACAATCATCAAACTCCTCAGGTGCAAATCTGGCATTTCCGCTGTCCAAAAACTCTGTTGTGTTAACAAGATTAGGCCAAATATTGCTGTGAACCATAGGGTTGTTGCAAACAGAATCCATCTCATTTGATTCCTGAAACATAAAAGAATGTCAATTAGATGGGCACATACACGAGTGTGCGTGGTGCATGTGTTTCTCTACGGAAGTTAAAAGGGGACTCAAGAAACCAGTAACTCCCTAAGCGACCAACTTGTAATCGGTCTAAACTCAGGAAAGTGAAAGTGATCCGGACCTTCTTACTTATATCTACAGAATTGCTCGAAGAAGACGTGCCATTTGAACAACTAGTGCAATTCAAAGGAGCAGTCTTCTGATGGTCTTTCCTCCTGCGGTTCTTCTTTTTATTTTTAGAAGTTGTAGTCCCCTTAAAATCTGCAAACACAAATCCATGTGGATTTAAAAGTCTCCCCAAAAGTAAAATCGAAAGGAAATAGATGAAAGAAGATAGAAGGGTGAAGAAAATAAGTGAATGCCTTGAGGTTTAATAGCACTTCTCAAACATAAAGCATACACGAGCAAAGCTGATGGAAGATGTAGCCATTAAAGTAGATCACCCATACCACAAAATCCATAATAACAATTAAAAACTTAAAATTGATGCTATCTACAAAATTTAGCACCTAAATATAAAAAGGTACATGAAAACAGAGAACTTACTCTAGGTTCTCAGCAGAAAAATAACTGATTACCAGAAAAAATATGATAATGAATTCTATCTTCACTCTGTATACATAATATCACACATTGATGCAGCAGAGAAGTATTTAGTTTCTTAACATTTAGGAGTTTTAAGTGGTCAACTAGTTGAATTGTGCAGCTATTACTTTTGACAATTACTTGATCAAACTCTGCAGTCACAATTTTTTAATGGGAACATATACCTTTAATAACAAATTCCATTATGTCTAGATTCTGTCCATTATGTCTAGATTCTGTCTGTCTTTCATTTCCCTGATTATCTATAACATTTAAATACAACACCTACATCTTTTCATTCCACTTTGACTTTCCAAATTGAGCAAAAGTATATCTTTGAATCATAACTATTTCAAATAATCATACATTACTAATCCCACCAACCAAAAAGCCTATTCTAAAGAATAAAAGATCAGAAATTTAACCTTCACAAGCATAGTTACAGATACCTACATTTTCAGTGGAAACGAAGAGAAAATTACACTAACATCCCTTGGGTAACTCGGTATTACAGTGTCACCCCTATCCTTTAAAAATTAAAAAGAAATACCTTTGCTGTCTTGGGCTCTATTAAAAAGAGATTTTGGGGGGAAACTGTGTTTTGAAATAATTATTTTTTGAAGAACGTGGGTTAAAAAAATAAGGAAAAATCTTGGATTTACGTGTAACATTATTTTATGGAAGGATGTGTGGTTGAAAATGAGTTTTAAAAAAATGAGCAAAAACAAGGGACGAATAGTTGGTATGATATGATGATGTTATTTATTTTAGGATGACTATTCTAAAAAACCTGTTTGGTAGAGATTAAAATCAGATTTTTAGTAGATTTTGATAAAATGTGCGGTTGAAAAGCTGTGGGTCCCATGAAATGTATGATTGAAATTAATTGTTGACTTTGACTTGAGATTTTAATTGGATTTTAATCCAAACCAAACAAGGGCTAAATTTTGAAAAATAGAAGTCCTCTAAAACTCGCAAGTACTGTTTTGATTTTTGATTTCCAACATCACTAGCGGTATGTGATGGAGGTGAAACCAATTTACACCTAGAATGCATAAAGTAAAAATATTTCTAAATTAAAGCATTTAAATTTTATGTACCATCATTTATGACAACTTACATTCGGATCATAGGCATATGCCTAGCACTAACTATTATTTTCTTGTGTCAAGAACATTGTGAAAGTCGACTTTTCATTCATACCGTAATTTCTCCAGAGCGTTCGAGAAAATTGAAACCAATTTACAAACAATATTTTATATCTTTCCCACCCCAAGAATTTTATTTATCAACATACACATTTTCAGACAATTAAATTTATTCGAGAGACATAGATGACATGCATGAATAAGAAAGAAGAAACATATCGTTCCTCAAGTGCATGAACAGGTGCCACAAACAACTCTCCCATAAGGTGAAGATGAGTGATTGGTGTTTTATGTATTAGACATCTTTTTAACCTTTGAAAAGCATCAAAGGGGGAATCCACAAAACAGTCGATAATGGAGGTCTTTGTAACTTTTAAAAAGGAATGCAGTAGAAATATAATAGTCAGTCACCTCAAGGGAAGGACAGTACATATCTTTCCCATGTTCTCCCGACAAGAAGAATCTCAATGGTAACAACAATGAATTCAATAAAGGATGTATAAAATGAAAGGAGAGCCAAAGAGAGACAACAGCAAATACCTCCATTGCCTCCATTAATATAGGACAAGAGGTCATCAACTGAACGATCATCCACACGCTCTGCTTCAGCCTCAACATTCTACAAAACATTGAAAGTCAATTACCTCAGTCTAAACTTGCATGTAACATATATCATTGTAGTGACAAAATACCAGTACTTGCAAGCAACTTATTAAATCTGAATGTATGCTCATCGCATAAAACCTTGAGAAACGCTGGAGGGTAATAACGCAGTACAGGAAATAATAATTAATCACCTTTAATCTCTCTCTTTCTTTTAACTCTTTCCTCTTTCTGGCGTACAATCTATTTAATAGCCGAATCCGAGGATCATCCATTGTGTTTTTGATGGGCTCCAATTTTTCTTCCTGAATAAATAAAATGCGTCAAAGTAAGAAAATAAATGTAGAAACATGGATTTACCCCAAAGAAATGAAAAGGACAATCAGCATGTACACTGCTTGCAAGGACAAGACACCTCTGTGAGATCATCAGGCAGGTGAAATATCTCTCGGATCTCTTCTGGAGTCTTGCCCTCAATCACTCGTGCAAGTGCACGACTAGTGAGATCTACCAATGGCTTCAGTTCAAGACTGTCAGCAGCGGAAGTCAGCTCACAAAGCCGTTTAGTATCCATTCGAACAAACCTTTCGTCAAAGGACTTCCTCTCCTGCAACAAAAAAAGAACTAAATGTGTATCTCTATTTCATCTAAAGGACTCATTTCTGCAGTTTCACAAACAATAGTAACATACTTTTAAGTGTTGTTTGGGATAATGTGGAACTCAAGATGAGGAAAATCAACTTTACAAAAAGGTAAACTTTTGGGACATGTAAAAACCTTGTTAGAGTGCCCTGGTACTTGATGAAATCGACAGTAGTCAAGAATCAAGCTCAACATGGGAGGATTGACCCGTGAAGGAAGGGAGATGGGATAACACTTCGAAGATCCTGTGCCTGATTGTATTTCATGACATATGAAGGGGCAAAATATGGCAACCTCTTGTTCCACTTGTAGTATTGAACCATCAGAAGTTTGAAGCCACACGTGAGCCTTCAGCATCTGATAATGCACAATATAAACACAACAAATCAAAATAATCATGATTTAAAAACAAAACAAACAGTGCAACTCAAGAACCACGATAAGTGGGAAGCTTAACGAAATATTGGAAAAGATGTACTGTTCTCATGATCCTTTTCTTCTCTTTTGCTCCTCTCTCCAAATATAAGTAACAAACAAAGCAATCTCCCAGTTAAACACTCCTAAATTAATGTGGAGCATTCATCTTATGCCATAATTAACAAGGAAAAGAACCAGCAGCCTGTTTGGTATAAATTTTTTTTCATCTTTTAAGTCATTTTTGTACCCTATTTGTCAAATTGGCGGGGCCCACATCTCACAACAAGGTCAATAGTTGCGGCTCAACGGACCAATTTGTGCTAAAAATCCTTACCAGACAACTTCCAGATGTTTGGATCTGACTTTTTCGGTCTTTGCTTGCTCCCAAGTGTAATGTTTGAGTTTGATGGTGATATAGATTTTGGGAAAGCCATATCTTAAAAGCTAGCGGTTGAAATTGGAGAGCCCAAATCTATATAAACTACACACCGAAAATCAATACTTTCGACGTGGGATTCAACTCTCATACCTTGCAATGGGAATTGTAACAATCTACCACGCTCTTCGGTCCTAGTGCCCATGTCGGACTGGCTTTGCACTAGCACATGACTAGTCTCGAATGAACACTGCTATGCTGACGTCACCATCAACGTCGCTCGATTGCAACCAAGAAATACGGTGCCTGCTCTGATGCCAATAATATAAATCTTAGGAAAGTCATACATCAAAAACTAGATGTTGCCTTTTGAAGTTGAAGAACCGAAGTCTATATGAACCATACACCGAGAGCACATACTTACGATGTGGATTCAAGTCTTATACCTTACAATGAGAACCATAACAAATGGTAATCCACTTTCATAGTTGCTTTCTCACTCGCAGGGGTTCAGAACTCTCCCCCACCACCATCTTTACTTCCCCAATTTGATAAGTGATACTCTATAAAATGGGGCCAGGGAGACATGACCATGACCCATAAAATTTACAAATATACAGAAATTCCATATCGGCACAAAAATATACCACACTTCCTTGCTTTATGTGTAACATCTACAATAGAAAGATTGTACAAACAAGGACCCGTGCAATCAATTGAAAGGAACACAACCTTTTGCACTTGTAGTATCCCTGTGTTCACACTTTTGTCTAAAACTGCTATCATGAGTGACGCACCTACGAAGCCTCTCTAAGCCTTGGTTCCGATGCAGGCATTGTTTGATAAGACTACTTGAAGCTTACACCTCAATTCAAATCTCGCCTCACATGAGGATTTCAGAATGTCTTGAAGATTATGCTATAATTGATGTTTTTTAAGCTCAAGCCTCGAGGCAACTAATGTGTTCGTCCATAGTCGTGTGTAGATATCAAAATAGTTAGTGTAGTCCAGACACAAAACGTCCCACCAGGTAAAAATCGGATCAAAACTAGCCCATTTGTTCCATGCCGATTCACGGGTTTCTCCACCATAATAAACGACTTATCTAACTCGACAACCCATGAGGATCGGCCTGGTTTATTAAAAAATAAAATTAAGAGTCGTTGGCTATAAATAGGCATTTTTCTTCTACATCCTTCCACACAATCTCTCATTGTCTTACACTCTCTTCACAGTTTTCACTCTCTAACTTCTTACATTCTCAATTTCTTCATACTTTTTTTTGAAAGATAATCAAATATTTTATTAATCAATACATAATACACAGGAAGTGTATTATCAATTTAAATTAGAAATTAACAACATGAAATTAGGCAGCCCGTCTATATGTCTAGTAGCCGCAGCATTAAACCAAGTATACAATGTCAAATAAAACAATTCTCTAATCTGCTCTATTGTCTGTGTTTGATCTTCAAAACAACGACTGTTTCTTTCTCTCCACACACCATACGATACAACCTGGAATAAGGTCTCATACAAGTTTGCGATCCTTATTTCGAAACTTTCTCCTCCATGTCTTTAACATATCCTCCATACGCCTCGGTAACTCTCAATCCATGTGTTGCGACACCAGAATATTGCTTCACAGTAAACGAGCAACATCACAATGAAGTAACAAGTGATCAATCGTCTCTCCATCCCTCTTACACATATAACACCACTCTGTAACGTAAAAACCCCTTGTACGAAGGTTATCCAACGTTAACACCTGTCCTCTGACCACCGTCCATAGTAAAAATGCCACGTGTAGGGGCAGTTTACATTTTCATACCATCTTACAGGGGAATGAACTCTCTACAAGACCCAATAAGGATCTAAACTAAGTGCGAACTGAAAAAATACCATCTCATGTCAACCTCCACCTGCTACAATCACCCTCTCCGACCCTGATATGTACCTCGTATAAAAATGTCAAAAGCAACGCATAGTCATCCAATTCCCAATGCTGCAAACCCCGGCCCAAAACAATGTTCCAACCGGAGCTTCTATTATGGATATCTTAGACATCATTCATCATGGCATACAGCTTCAACGCAATACGATACAAAGAAGAAAATCCCACCTTAAGCAGTTGATCTCCACACCAACAATCATCTCCAAAAGCTGATGGTATTACCATTCCCCACTGCAAAAGTCAACCTACCCCGAAAGTCGCTCCACCTTCGACAGATATACCGCCACAAAATCACCTCATAAGAACCACGTCTCTCACCTGAGCACCATCCCCATCCATAACACCATATTTTGCCCCTATAACATCTCTCCAAAAACTCTCCCTCTCCACTCCGAATCACCACAACCACTTATCCAACAAGGCTTTATTAAACAGTACTAGACTTCTCATTCCGAGGCTACCGAATCTAATAGGAGAACAAACTGCAAGCCAGTTAACCAAATGTAATTTCCTCTCCTCTAATTCTCCCCAAAGAAACTCCCTTTAAAACCTCTCTAATCTTTTTGCCACTGCAACAGGAATAGGAAACAATGACAAGAAATAAGTAGGGAGATTTGACAAAGTGGACTTTATGAGAGTAAGACGGCCTTCCTTTGAAAGATACATACGCTTCCAACCCGCTAGCCTTCTCTCAATTTCTTCATACTAATACTAAAATGTTTTTAAATCCGATTAAATTCAACTTTCAAGTATATTTGCACTATACAATTTTTTTTTATGTTCTAGTTAAGTAGGTGACAACTTCGTTAGAATATACTTAACCTATAATGATGCATAAACTATTACTCTTAAATTCTACTTATAAATTATATTTTATATTTCACAAAAATTAAAAATGTAATCCACAAATACATTAATGAGAATATTTTTTTTTAATTATGATTTACTTTCAAATCAAATTAAATTTCTAAAAAACGAAAATAATAAAACACGATGGATTGGACCTGCTTGGCCTGCAATATATTGATTTGGAAGATGGTCTAGGCTAGGCTAGGACCAGATTTTATATTTGGATGAGCGCATGTCATTTTAGAATGGCCCACCCATTTTGTCAACCCTGGCCTTGCATATTTTGGACATTTTATTAGTTGCCTTAGCCTTTTGAACTAATTATTTATAAATAGAAATGTTTTGCTGATTTTTCATATAATCCTTTTCCTGCCTTGACATGGAAGGGAAAGGAGTATACACTATTGCAAGGGGAGGAGGATGAAAAAGAACGAGAAAAAAATTGATAATGATAAGGAGGATCATAGGAGAATCAAATATATTGATGATATTAGTCATCCTATTTGTAGTGATGATATAAGAGATTTTTGAGTTGTTAATCATTTTAATAGTAAATTACAATTTTGTGAATTTTTTAAGATTTATTTATGGTTTATTATAAGCATATTTTTGTATTTTTATATTCATCTGAATTATTTTATTGGCTCAGTGAGGTACAACGTCTTGGTATCCGATTAAGCCTTTTTAAGCATTTCAACCCCAATCTTCTTTATTTTCTCTTCATCATCCCCAAAGGATTGTAACTCTAATATAATATTATGAGAGTTGAAATCCTATAGAAAAGAATAGTTCATTGATCAGAAACCCTACTTTTACAAAATAGATTAATGCTAAAAGGCTGTGTGTTCCACGTGTGTTTTCTGCTTCTTTTGTGTTTTCATTTAATAATCTAGAGGTCCAAATCTCTGAAGTAATTAAACATAATGGTGGAAAGTCAGGTGGTATTTAGCAGAAGGATACATACAGATTAACGTAAACAAATGCAGAAAACTAGCAACAAGTAGTCTAACTGAAGTCCGATAAATTCGATTGCACATTCTTCTCATTTAAATACCCCCAACCCCGGTTATGCAGCTTCTACATTCAAAACTGTCCAAGTAAAAATCTGGCCAGACATCTCACACTGGTACTATATAAGATAGAATGTCGTCCACAGCCCACGCATGGAGAGAGCCTTGGAATTTATGCAATAGGGGTTCACAAATGCATCAATCAGTACAGCCAATTCCACTGCCTAAAAAAAATCCACTTTGTAGCACATAGGTCTTACCAGACACAATTATACACAGACTTATTTTACTTCCTAAATGAATGAACTTTATGCCCAATGCCTTTTCTATTGGTCTTTTTCTCTTCAAAGTTCATTGCCTAAAGGAAACAAACCAATGCCTGAAGAGCATCCTTGTCCCAGTAAATCTTCATTCTTCATGGCAGCGTATTTAATGTATGAGTGACAATAAAACAAAGGAGTTTCAATATGACTACAGAAAAAAGACTGTCACAATAATCAAATGAACATAAAGCACATCTACAGAGATACATCACAAACAAGCAAAATAGGAATTCAGGAGCATTAAATAATCAAAAAGTTCACAAAGTTATTATTAACTAAAGGGCAAAATCAGCAACAAAACCGATTTGAAAGAACCTTTTATTTTGAATTTAATATACATAAATCACAAAAAGTTGGAAANAATTGAAAAAACAAATGTCCAAAAAATCACTTTCAATAAAATGCTCCTGTTGTAAGAATGAAGAGTGTCAGAATATAGTCAACTAATCTCACCATCTGTACAAGCCAAGACTGTTTAGCATGTTGGTTTTCATGTCCGAAACATAATTCCAGAGTACAAAACTTGATACATGCATAAAAACAGATCTAATTTAAGTAAATCAGTGGTATTACTATCCGTACATCATCTAGATAGAACTAACTTGAAAATTTCTGAAGCAAAAAGAAACAACAATCCATTCTTTTGTGAGATGTCCAGTTCTTATAAAAGATATTAAAAGTGATGAAGATGACTATCTCACATAAAGATGGCTTCAACATAGGTTTGAAGTAATCTAATAATTACTCTCCCTGTCTGAATTTGAGAATAGAGTTCTTGGAGAAAGCTTTACCTAGTAAATTTTCCCGTTTTATGCTCTCTCCCTCCCTCCCACAACTACATCCATCTCCAATTTCAGCCCCACCAACCAGCAACTAGACTTTTACTGCCAATAAAATAGGTCACACCTGATCAATTACCAGCATCAT